AGTCAACAGCTACCTCAACAGGCTCAACCGGGTCTACCTGGGACACACCTGAGGGAGCGGCACCCTGAGGGGGGAGGGGGTCTACCACAGCAGCACCTGGTGCGAGGAAGAGAGGCGGGGGGGGGGAGCGGGGCAGTGCGGTAGGGGAAGAGGCGGTAGTAGGGGACGGACTCGTCAAAAGTGACGTCCTGAGAGGGCAGGACCCGGCGCGAGGTGGCGTGGTAAAACTGCCAACCAGACGCGTCAGGGACAAAGCCAAGGAAGACGCAGGGAACAGCGCGGGAGGAGAGCTTGTCCGTGGACGTATCGCGGACAAAGGCTCGACATCCCCAGACTCGGAAACACGACGCATCGCCAACCTCCCCCGTCCACAGCAGTGTGGGCGAGGTCTCCGGCATGGAGACACGGGGCCAGAGGTTGAGCTGATGCGCAGCGTACTGGACCGCAAACGGCCACAGAAAGTGGGGGGCAGCCGCATGGATCAAGGAGGTACGGGCGACCTCCATGACTAGGCCAATGCGGCGCTCCGCAACCCCATTCTGCTGTGGAGAGGCCGGAAGCGTGAATGACTGCTCAATGTCGTGCTCAGCACAGTAGGCTGCCAAGAGGTCGGAGGAGAACTCACCACCTCTATCAGAGTGCAAGCGCAGGACAGGAAAGTCCGAGTGGAAACGCTCGCTGAGCTGGAGACGAGCTCTGCGGATGTAAGGGATCAAAACATCAGGGACCTCACCCTTGGTGCGCAAGGGGAAGACCGTGGTGTAGCGCGAGTAGTCGTCAACAACTATCAGGAAGTACCTCTCCTGACCCTGACCACGGACGCGGGCTGGGCCCCACACGTCCATGTGGAGTGTCTGCAAGGGAGCAGTCGTCGGGGGAAACGAGGAGTGAGGAGCGGCGCGCTGCCGCCCCTCGACACAGGGAAGACAGGGAGGAGCAGGCGAGGGTGGGAGGGGAGGGAGAACCCTGGGAAGACCAGAGACAAGGTACCGGGAGTGCATGGCACGAAGGCGCTGCACAGACGGGTGGCCAAGTCGGTGGTGCCAGAGGACAGTCTCGTGCGCGAGAAAGCGACACGAGCAGGGGGCCGACAGCTGACCGGACGCAGACGCAGACGCAGCGACCTGAGGGGACTCAGTGGTCAGTGTGTACAGGTCCGACCCCGGCTGTCTAGTGAAGGTAGCCAAGTGACGGCCCGTACGAGCACACGTGCAGTGTGTCACGCGCTCGTAGGCAGGGGTGAACTGGTGAACACCCGCGTCCTGGAGCGCACAACCCGCCACCAAGTTCGTAGAGAACGAGGGGAGGTGGAGACCTGACAGTGTGCCCGACGGGACCGCAGGACAGGGAAGGACAGTGGAGGAGGTCGCAATGACCGGACCCCCAGAGGGGTCAGCGAGGGAGACAGCAACTGGCCGAGCAAGCGGCTCAAGGGCAGTGCGGTCACGAAAGAAACAGCGAGAAGCACCTGAGTCCAGAGTGAAGGTGTGCAGTGCCTCAGTCGACTCAGTACCAGGGGGCGCAGACTCACGAGCACCTAGAGCAGCAGCCTCACCAGCACCTGGGGTAGCAGCCGCACTAGCACCTAGAGCGGCAGCCTCACTCACAGGACACGGCAGCTGCACCTGTCCATCACCAGAAGCTCCCGACCGACCCACTCCAGAGCGACTACCACTACGGCCACCCCGACAGCCCCAACTGGCGTACCACTCACGAAGCTGCTGGGGTGAAAGAGGACACGGCAGCTGCACCTGTCCACTACCAGAAGCTCCCGACCGACCCACTCCAGAGCGACTACCACTACGGCCACCCCGACAGCCCCAACTGGCGTACCACGCACGAAGCTGCTGGGGCGAAAGAGAACACGGCAGCTGCACCTGTCCACTACCAGAAGCCTCCGACCGACCCACTCCAGAGCGACTACCACTACGGCCACCCCGACAGCCCCAACTAGCGTACCACTCACGAAGCTGCTGGGGCGTGAGGGACTCACGCGCACGACCCTGGAGCTGCATCTGGCCTCGCCAGGAGCAGCAGTAGCAGCAGTAGCGGCAGTAACAGCAGTAACAGCAGGAGCAGTAGCAGTGGGAGTAGAAAAGGCAGTAGCAGCAGTAGCAGTGCTGGCAGGGCAATGCTCACCAGTGGTCGGCGCGGCAGGCGCAAGACGGTGGCGACCGCGGGGCCGCTACAACTGCAGGGCGGGGCCGGGCCGCAGCAGGGAGCTCCGCGGCAGCTGCTGCAGGGCGAGGCCGGGCCGCGACGGCAGCTGCTCCAGGTGCCTGGGGCGGCTGCTGCAGGTGCGGGCTGCTCCAGGGGCGGCTGCTGCAGGTGCAGGCTGCTCCAGGGGCGGCTGCTGCAGGTGCAGGCTGCTCCAGGGGCGGCTGCTGCAGTGGCGGGCGGCTCCAGGGGCGGCTGCTGCAGTGGCGGGCGGCTCCAGGGGCGGCTGCTGCAGTGGCGGGCGGCTCCAGGGGCTGCTGCTGCAGTGGCGGGCGGCTCCAGGGGCTGCTGCTGCAGTGGCGGGCGGCTCCAGGGGCTGCTGCTGCAGTGGCGGGCGGCTCCAGGGGTGGCTTCTGTAGTGGCGGGCGGCTCCAGGGGCGGCTCCACGGGCAGGTGGCGACGCCGCGGGCAGGGCGACGCGGCGGGCAGGTGGCGACGCCGCGGGCAGGGCGACGCGGCGGGCAGGTGGCGACGCCGCGGGCAGGCGACGACGCCGCGGGCAGGCGACGACGTCGCGGGCAGGGGCTGCGTCGCGGGCAGGCGACGACGCCGCGGGCAGGGGCTGCGTCGCGGGCAGGCGACGACGCCGCGGGCAGGCGACGACGACGCCGCGGACAGGGCGGCGAGAGCCTGCAGAGGCGGCGCGCGGTCGGGCAGAGGCTGCGCGCGGGCCTGACGGGTCTGCAGGGGCGGCTCTCGGGCGTGACGGGCCTGCAGAGGCGGCTCGGGGGGGGCCTGACGGGTCTGCAGAGGCGGCTCGGGGGCCTGACGGACCTGCAGGGGCGGCTCGAGGGCGCACGAGGGCGCATAAGGGCGTACGAAGGCGTACGAGGGCGCACGAAGGCGCACGAGGACGTACGAGGGCGCACGAGGGCGCACGAGGGCGCACGAGGGCGCACGAGGGCGCACTAGGGCGCAGGTAGGTAGGTAGGTAGGCAGTAGCGGTGGGCCCTAAAAAAAACGGTCCTAGCGAAGGACCTGCTCTGATACCATGTCAGAATGAACGAACAGGAATGATTGAACTAGCAGTGAAATGAGTACAAGTACCTAACCCTAGAATTTGTGTACCCCCTAAAGGCTAACCCACTGTAGCCTAAACAACCACAACATATATAATGTTTGACAAAAAAAATGTACATAACGATTGTAATAGGTTGCTTCGCAACCCAAAAAAAAAAAAAAAAAAGCACCGCGCGCTCTGAGCGCACGGCAGGCAGCAGACATCGCGCGCCTAGGGCGTGCGATAGGCAGAACAGCAGCGGAAGCATCGGGCGGGACCACCCACAGGACCGACCCGGGAGGGTCGACCTGCTCTGATAGCATGTCAAAACAGTAGGCAGAAACTAGAAACGAGAAAGGGGGGTTTTCATTAGCAGGCAGTTGAGTACATATAGCAAACCCTAATTCGGGTTGTACTCGTCATAGTGTACCCCAGGCTAGACAAACATCACATTCTGACACTAAATAGTAATACAGGGGGAATACCAAACGTCCTAGCTAGCCATGTACTCTAAGGGATACATTCCCTTATTCAAATTCAAACCCAACCGTGCGGCGCGTACAGTTACGAAACTGTTCCCGCCAATTCTCTTGCTCCTGCAGCTGCCCGGTGCTGTCTGCTCCGACGGTCCAGATCCATTCCAACTGTCTGCGTCGCTTCGAGTCAACTCTGACTGTTCGTTTCCAGCTTCGATACTGTGTGCTTCATTTGCTGCTGTCAAAAGTTGGGGTTGTACGCGAAGCAGGCAACCCCGATTAAGGAAAAAGATTTTTCCTTACATCAGCAACCCTTCAGAAGTAAATGTAGAATCTTGTTTAAATTCCTTCCACACGACTTGGTTTCGTTGAAACAGCCGTACCAGATCGGAATTTCTACTATCGGGTCTTGGATACATTTTTTGGGTAGGATTGGTGGTGGCCCAGCCGACCGATACGACTCGGCAGCACTGTCACATGTTCCTTGAAGGCGCGCTCGGCTTAGCCTTCGATATAAGAAACATTAGGAAAAGCGTGGACTGGACGGTGAACTGGAGTAGGGTTTCTTCCGATTAGCCTGTAGGCCACGGCAGGCAGTTCAGTTCACCAAAGCATCTTCCCTGCTCGGGCACCGCATCCGCAAGCTTTTCGCGTTCGAGCAGCACTGTACTGTACAGTCCGATGCGACTCGAGCGCAACAGCACCATCGCCGCCAACCATCCTCTCGGCGACTCACATGATTCATACTGCCCGCATCTGTACACCACGGTGTACACTCGTGAGTCGTGACCCACCCACCGAAACATCGTGCTTCTTTTCCCCACCTTCCATAACAGGGCTCCTTTCCTACCCAGCCACACCCTCCACACCGACATGTTTTTTCCGCCCGTTCCTCGGCCTAGAAAAGTTTGAATTCGCTGGGTCACCCGAAGAGGAAACCCAGCCCTTGGTTCTGCCCAGCGCTTAGTTTTGCCCAGCCCTTGGTTCTGCCCAGCCAGCCCTTGGTTTTTGCCAGCCCTCGTGCAAAAATTGGACGCTCCACTTGATGGTCACAATCTCGGTGACCTTCCACATTATCCACTCGACAACGAATTATCCTTAGCAACATGCTTGGCTTTTTGGAAGCTCACACTTAGCTCAAGCCTCTAGCAACAGCATCTGAACCCTCCGCCGCCGCACAGCGTTGTATTTGCCAGCGTTGTTTTTGAAAGCCGCCACGGCTACTTCTCCGTTTGTCTCGATAGGCTACGAAGGTTACGCGAGTGCATATGCGCCAGGCTGAGTCCGCGTCCTTTTTCTGAAGGGCGATGACGGGCGTTGGACGAGTCTCGGCTCTCGACAGACCTTGGATTGGCCTGCTTCTGGTACGTCCGTAACCTTCCACGTCAACGTCAACATCATCTTCAGATTGCCTCGTCCTTTACCTGTGTCCAAAGGCTTCCGCATTCGCCGCTGCTTTTTCCTCGCTTCTCGCCCATTCGCCCCCCGCGCCATCCCGCTCCCAGCAACATTTTCTGTTTACTCCCCTTCCCTCCCATTCTGTATTTTCGCGCCATCCTGTCTCCTTTTCGTAATCCGCCCGTTTTTCACTTCGTTTCGCCTGCCATTCCCTTGCGAATTACAAGGTGGTAAAGAGAATCTCGTTTGTCGCTCATGCTTCCGTCACCGCACTCTCCTCCTCGCCGCAGGTAGTAACATTCGCCTGCGCCTTCGCCGACGCGTTCAACACGACCGGCCTGTCGCCAAACCCGATCAGATTCAAGCTCCCCTCGGGAATCACAAAGATCCGCGATTTCCTCGACGACGCGTTCGAGCGCGAAAAGGACACGTACAACGGCGACGCATCGGCCGCGAACCAATGGGGGCAGCCCATCCAATCGGGATGCTCGACGACATGCAAGGCGCAGAATAGCAAGTGGCAGTGCGGCGTGATGCACGAGCCTATCAACGTGTACCTGATCTGGTTCGGGCGGTTCAAGGAGAGCCAGAAGAACATCATTCGCAATTTCGTGCGGTCTGTCGGCGACAGCAGTGACCCCTCCAACACGGGTGAGTATGACTTTTGACAGCAGACGACTCAAAAGTCGCTCGGCGACACCAGTGACCCCGCCAACCGGGCGATCGTGGTTACCGTCTGCTCTCGACTGGAACTTCTGAGTTGATTCGAATGTCCCCTTGGCGATAACAGTTGCCCGTCAGAAGCGGAGTGGTTTCGGCTGGTCGGGCCATCGCGAGATGGGGAATGGGAGAAGGGGGAAAGGGGGAAGGGCGGAATGGGGGAAGGTAGGAAGGGAGATTTACGGGACTGGCCTGTAACCCTGAGAGCTCTGCTTCGGCCTCGTCTCATGCATTCGTCTCATTCCCCCCCGCGAACCCCCTCCTTCCTCACCCCACCCTGGTTCCGTAGCTTTCCCCCACATCCTCTCTCGAATGGTCCTCTCTCTCTCTCTCTCTCTCTCTCTCTCTCTCTCTCTCTCTCTCTCTCTCTCTCTCGCTCTCTCTCTCTCTCTCTCTCTCTCTCTCTCTCACTCTCTCTCTCTCACTCACACTCTCTCTCTCTCACTCACACTCTCTCTCTCTCACTCACACTCTCTCTCTCTCACTCACACTCTCTCTCTCTCACTCACACTCTCTCTCTCTCTCTCTCTCTCTCTCTCTCACTCTCTCTCTCTCTCACTCACACATTCTCTCTCTCTCTCTCTCTCTCTCTCTCTCTCACTCTCTCTCTCTCTCTCTCTCTCTCTCTCTCTCACTCACACACACACACTCTCTCTCTCTCTCCCATCTCAGTCTCGCACTGAACCCTGTTCCCGCTTCTTTCCCATCCCTTCTCCCTTCCCCTTCCTCTCACTCACCCTCCCTCTCAAACGCCCAATGATGGAACATCAACCCTGTTTCCACTACACGAACTGTAGTGCTAACCCTGTTTCCGCTTCCTCCCCATCCCCCTCCTACCACTTCCTCCCAGTCTCCCAATGGTGGAACATCAACCGACTGTACTCGGATTGCAGTGGTAGACCTGTTTCCACCTCCGTCCCATCATCCCATCCTCTCCCTTCCCCTTCCTCCTCCCACCCTCCCTATCAGTCGCTCAATGGTGGAATATCAACCGGCTGTACTCGGATTGCAGTGGTAGACCTGTTTCTGAGACGGTGCGACTGGCAGGCGACCACCATCTCAAGCCGCGCATGCGCTTCCTCTTCAGCAACATGGCCATCTCCTTTATAGTCAAACGCGCTATAAGCGCCAAGGCGTTCCCTGCAGACCCGAACGGGGTGTACTTTGTGATAACCGATAAAGGCACGAAACAGGTGGGCGAGCTTGTTGAAGGACCCCCGTGAACGACTGTCTTATGATAGACAACCACTGCCATGCCAATTCACGTCATTTTTGTTCGTCTGTTAACAATTCCTGTGGTCAATCCCTTCTCTTCCTATCTCTCTCTCTTCCTCTCCTGCTCATTTCTTCTCTCCCTCTCCCTCCCTCACACCCACTCACGTCCCCTTTCCCCCTCTCCCTCTCTCACTCGCTTCCTCCTCCACTTGTGGCCAGCAATCGTTGCTAGGCGGCTTCTGTTCGGCCTACTGTGGCTGGCACTCGTATGACAAGATCAAGGGGAAGGCCCTCAAGGTCTCCTTCATAGGACATCCGGGAAAAGTGAGTGAGTCCTAAAGCACGCACTCGCTTTTATAACGAGTACAACCCACTCATACGGCAACATTAAGGGGACGACCCTTAAGGTCGCATTCATTGGCCATTCTGGAAGGGGGAGGGACCTGCAAGCATGAGCGCATGGAAAGAAGGGAAAACCCTTCCAGGTGCCTTTTATGGGGCACACAGGCTGGGTGAGTCCCGAAGCACACTCGTAGCTTGAGCGGTTCGGTAAGGTGCTGTAAGGTGAGGGAAGATGAGAAAGAGAAGTTCTTGCTGCTGCTAATCATGTTATTTTTTGCCATCTTCTGATCTCTTTCTCTTCTCCCCATCTCCCCCTCCATCTCCCTCTCTCCAGTGCCTGAGAGCGTGTGCATGCTCCACCATATCGTGTCAGGCACCAGCAGCCCCAGCGGCGACCGAGCCATGATTGCCATGCTCTCTTTGCTCCACAACCTCTGACTTTCCTCTCTCAATCCCTGCCTCCTCCCCCTCTCCTCCTCCCCAATCCCCTCCCTCTCCCCATACCCTTCATCCCCCTCTCCCACTCCTGCCCTTCCTCTCCCCTCTCCCACTCCTGCCCTTCCTCTCCCCCTCTCCCCAGTGCCTGCGGTCATGTGCCGCTCCCTCCATCTCGCGCAAGGGAGGCAGGAGTCCCAACGGCGACAGGGCAATGGATGCAATGGTCACTTTTCTCCCAGCCCCTGGCTTTCTTCTCTCAATCCCTGCCCCTTCCCCCTCTCCCCAGTGTCTGCGCCCGTGTGCAGCCCCATCCATTTCCCACGAGGGCGGCCGCAGTCCCAACGGCGACAGGGCAATGGATGGGCGCCCCGGGCAATGGGCGCCATGGTCTCCATCCTCGCCCACGAGCTCGCCGAGACTTTCCTCTGACTCCCTTCTCCCAATCCCCCTGTCTGTCCCCTCCCCCTCCCCCTCCCCCCAGTGCCTGCGCTCGTGTGCAGCCCCCTCCATCTCGCGAAAGGGAGGCCGCAGTCCCAACGGAGACAGGGCAATGGACGCCATGGTCTCCATCCTCGCCCATGAGCTCGCCGAGGCTGCCTCTGACCCGTACCTGGGCACGTGGACTGATGCCAGCGGCATGGAGAATGCTGATATCTGCGCCTGGAGGTGAGCTGATGTGGTGTGGTGGGCACATGGGCCATACCTGGGCACTTGGGCTGCCTCTGACCCGTACCTGGGCCTGTGAGCTGACGCCAGTGGCATGGAGAAGGTGAGGTGCTGTTGGTGTGTGTTCCGTGCATTGATGTACGGCCATGGGCCAGGTTTTGTGCAGAACATGGCGTCAGTGTGTGCTCTTGAGCTGGCAGAGGTTGCCTCTCACCATTTCCCTTCCCCCCATCCCCACTCCTACCACTTCCTCTCACTGCATTCAACCCCACCCATGAATCAGCTACGCTGTAGCGGACGCAAGAAGCGCTGAAGCAGGTTACAATCTGTTCGCCTTGATGCCATGATTTGATTTTATGTGCCTCACACCCATTCCATCTCTCCTACCTCCCAACTCTTGCTCGCTCCTTCCTCCGGACTCCCCTCTCCCTCCGCCCATGAATCAGCTATGGCACAGTGGAAAAAACTGCCAGTGGAGCTGAGTGCAACCTGGTGGGGCTTGATGACCCTCTAATATGCCTTGCCCCCCTCTTCTACTCCCACTCCCCTCTCTCCCTCCTGCCTCTCCTCTCCCTCCCCAATGAACCAGCTATGGCACTGTCGAAACAACAGCCAGTGGAGCAGAGTACAACCTGGTGGGGCTGAATGGGATGAAGTTCCTTGTGCAGCAGAACTACCACCCCAATCTACGGACGTGCCTGGTTACCACCACCGTGTAGCATGGTTACACAGTGGTCCAGCAGCTATACAGCAACCAAGACATGGTTTTTGATAGAGTAGAGTCTCTTGGTTGTCAATCATGTTATGAATGGTTAGGAACTCCTCTCGAGCTCCTGCCCATACTATCTCAGTGGTTGTCGATTATTAGAAGCTCCTTTGAGGCCGTGCCTGTCTTGTGTTTTATTGGAGAGTCATGTTTCGTGACTCATTGCATAGAAATGAACTTGTATTGCAATGCTTTGTTGAATAATTCACACTCCCAAGGAAATCCATTTGTCAAGGCAAACCGTTACCGTAGAAGGTCCAACTTGCAGCCGTGACTTTTAGCATTGGTGGAGTTTTGCTAACAGGCTTTGTCCACTATATGCCTTGGCCAAGCTGAAGTTACCGTATGGCCCCAGATACATGCGCAAGTGCGCTTATACGGTAATAAAATAGGTTTTTTTTAGGGGGTGCGTTTCTAATTGAGTAAAAAGTAGAAGTTCATGCGTCTGTGAAAGGTAAAAAATGAAATTTGTTTCTTCTAGATACCAAATTGAAGCACTCAATAAGACGAACACACCTGAATGTGGTTCACATCACATGCGATCGTGTATGGAAAGCTGCGAGAAAACGGCTGCGATTCGGTTTCCCATCGCACAATACAGTCTAGACTTGCTTAGGGTTTGTTATATGTACCCCATGTTGAAATCTAGAGACAGGAATGAATGAAACTAGAAGAGAGTTTGGTACAAAATAGGAAACCCTAATGGGGTTGTACCCCATATTGGCTACCCCACTACAGCCTACCCCCCTACACACATAGGCAAAGTGGGGGAGAACAAGGGGTCACAAGACCAATCAAGCAAGACAGAGCAAGCCCAGGGTGGATCACAACGTCACCACACTCTCTGAGCACAAGCAAAAGGCCACAAGGCCAGTTCACATGCAGAGTTATATAGAACAATACAAGCAAGGCAGTGATCAAAACCTAGCAAGAGTAAACATGCAAGGATGTATATAGATCACCGTACAAACAAAGTCAAGCAGTAAGCAAGTGAGAGGACGTAGACACAAGGCCTAACGCTGTGCAGTGCCGCTGATGGTCACTAGGCGGAAGTGCCTTGGTGAATATATCAGCAGTGTTGGCCTTTGAGTCCACGTACACAAGACGAAGCTGACCACGCTGCTGCAACTCTCGAGCAAGAAAGTACCGGAGAGCAATGTGCTTCGTTCTGTGCTCCAGTCTGTGCTCCTGACACAAAGCAAGGGCTGCCTTGTTGTCGCCGTACAGAACTGGAGGAGAACGAGGCCGCTCTCCCAAGTCAGTCAGCAGGTAGGTGAGCCAACGAAGCTCCTGTGCAGCCATGGCCGTGGCGTAGATCTCAGCCTCACAACTGGAGCTGAGAACAGAAGAAGAGCGGGTGGACCGCCACGAGACAGAACCAGAGCCAAGGCTGAAAGTGTAACCCTGCGACGACCGCTGCGTAGTCAGGTCGTCAACCCAAGAGGCGTCTGAGTGTCCAGAATGGCGGCAGCGACGTGTCTGTGCGCAGGAACAGTGACGGGTCTGCAGTGGAGGGAGCAAACCCAAGAGCCGCAAGCGTCGTCCTCAGTGTGTCGTGCCACTCGCGTGGCGCCTGGCGGAGACCGTAGACAGGCCGCCGGAGGCTCCACTGGGTACCAGGAGGGAACGACCCAGTGAAGCCAGGAGGACGGCGCAGCCAGATCTCCTCGTGTAGGCTGCCCTGCAAGAAAGCCGTGCTGAAGTCAAGAGAGTGAAGCTCGTAGTCACGCTGAGCGGCAACGTGCAGCAACACCCGAAGAGTGGTCATCTTCGGGGTGGGAGAGAAGGTCTGGAAGAAGTCAACTCCCTGACGCTGACTGAAGCCTCGAGCAACATAACGAGCCTTGAAGACAGGCGGAGAACCCGGCGGTCGCTTCACCCTGAAAATCCACATGCCATCGACGATGTTCGCCCCAGGAGGGGGAAATGCGTCGACGTAGGTGCCTGTGGGCTTCTAGGATGCCATCTCTGCGTCCATGGCCGTCTGCCACTGAGAGGAGTAGGGACCCGAGACCGCCTCTGTGTAAGAGCGAGGGGTCGGGATGTCAAGCGCATCCGGGTCTCCCTCAGGGGCAAGCAGCCAGGCCGTGAGATGAGGTACAGCAGCCGCAAGACAGTCAAAGTCCTCCTGCCTGTCCTCAAGGACGTCCGTGCTAAGAGCACACTCACCCCCGACGGACGGAGGACAGACAGACGCAGACTCAGTAACAAGACTGGCAGCGTAGTCTAGACGACAGGCAGCAGCAAAGTCAACAAGCTCAGCGACCAAGGCAGACGCAGCAGTAGACTCAAAAGACGGGTCAGTGACAACAGTAGCTAGGAGACGCGTGACAGTAGGGTGCTCAGCACGAAACCGGTCAGACTCAGGGTCCGGAACGTCAGGCAGAGAGGACGCAGGGGGAGACGGCAAAGGAACAGGCTGCGGAGACAAGGAAGGACGACGAACTACGAGGCGTGTGCCGGGGACAGCCGGCTGACGCGGACGAGGAACACGACGACCGGAACGACCAGGACGGACAGGCGAGACAGGACGCGACACAGGCTCACGACGCTCAGCAGGACCACCGGGCTGCTCAGAGTAAGGAGAAGGCGCAGGCAGCGGTGAGCCAGGCTGTAACAGAAGACCAGTAGACGACGGTAGGCTAAGAACCTGGCGAAGCGCAGTGTCAGGTGGTAGCTGAGTCGACGGAGACGGCGGAGCGAAGAACAGTCTCGGCTGCGCCGGGCCACAGGCGTCAGCAGCTCCAGCGCCTCCAGCAGCTCCAGTACCTCCAGCAGCTCCAGCACCTCCAGCAGCAGCTCCTCCAGGACCAGCGTCACCAGCCGCAGTACCCCCAGAACCGGCACCTCCAGTCCCAGGGTCTCTAGTCTCCGTGTCTCCAGCAGCAACACCCCCAGACCCAGAGTCTCCAGCAGCAGCACCCTCACGCAGAGTGCCTCCAGTCCCAGCAGCTCCAGTACCCCCAGTACGAGCACCTCCGGGACCAGCACCAGGCAGCAACTCCAACACCCCCAGAAGCAGTGCCTCGCGCTCCAGCAGCTCGACCCTGACGGCGACCGAACCAGTCGTGCAGCTGCTGCGAGGTGAGGGGGACACGTGGACGAAGGCGGGCACTCCAAGGGGACCGCGTCCCAGCAGCACCCTAAGTCAGCTCAACACCAGGCCCAGAACCCCCAGTCTCCACAAACACAGGCTCGGCACCCCCAGACGCAGTACCCCCAGGCAGAGTACCTCCAGGCTCCTGACTCGCAGGCTCAGTACGTGCAGGCGCAGCGCCCTCAGACTCCACACCCCCAGGCTCAGCACCCCCAGGCACCTCACACTCACGCTCCGCACCCCCAGGCTCAGTACCCCCAGGCACCTCACACTCACGCTCCGCACCCCCAGGCTCAGTACCCCCAGGCACCTCACACTCACTCTCCGCACCCCCAAGCTCAGCACCCCCAAGCTCCGCACCCCCAGGCTCAGCACCCCCAAGCTCCGCACCCCCAGGACCAGCACTACCTCCTGCAGGACCAGAGTCACCAGTGACCTCAACAGGCGCAGGCACGGGAGGGTCTACCTGGGAAACATCTGAAGGGGCAGGACCTGGCACGAGAAGGGGGTCTACCTGAGGAGGACCTGGAGTGAGGAAGAGCGGTGGGGGGGTGCGAGGGGAGGTACGGTACGGAAAGAGACGGTAGAAGGGAACGGACTCGTCAAAGGTGACGTCCTGAGACGAAAAGACACGGCGCGAGGAGGGGTCGTAGAACTACCAACCAGGCGCGTCAGGAGGGAAACCAAGGAAGACACAGGGAACGGCGCGAGCAGAGAGCTTGTCCGCGGTGGTATCGCGGACAAAGGCACGAGCACCCCAGACCTGGAAACGCGACGCATCGCCAACCTTCCCCGTCCACAGCAGTGTGGGCGAGGTCTCCAGCAAGGAGACACGGGGCCAGAGGTTGAGCTGATGCGCGGCGTACCGGACTGCAAACGGCCACAGAAAATGGGGAGCCGTCGCATGGATCATGGAGGTACGAGCGACCTCCATGACTAAGCCAATGCGGCGCTCAGCAACCCCATTCTGCTGCGGAGAGGCCGGAAGCGTGAATGACTGGGTGATGCCGTGCTCCTCACAGAAGGCTCGCAAGAGGTCGGAGGAGAACTCACCACCTCTGTCAGAGTGCAGACGCAAGACAGGAAAGTCCGACTGGAACCGCTCGCGGAGCTGGAGACGAGCAGCGCGGATCCAGGGGATCAAAACAGCAAGGACGTCCCCCTTGCTGCGCAAGGGGAAGACCGTGGTGTAGCGCGTGTAGTCGTCGACTACCAGCAGGAAGTACCGCTCGCGGCCCTGCCCCTGGACGCGGGCCGGGCCCCACACGTCCAGGTGGAGAGTCTGCAGTGGAGCCTCTGTGGGAGGGAACGAGGAGGAGTGAGGAGCGGCGCGCTGCCGCCCCTCGACGCAAGGAATGCAGGGAGGCGCAGGCGAGGGAGGGAGGGCAGGGAGAGACCTGGGAAGGCCAGAGACCAGGCAGCGAGAGTGCATGCTACGAAGGCGAGGCAGGGAGGGGTGACCAAGGCGGTGGTGCCAAAGGAGAGTGTCGTGGGACAGGCGGCGGCACTCACACTGGGTGGCTACCTGAGCAGACGCGTACAGCTGTGGAGACAAAGGAGTGTAGCGTGAAACAGTGGTGAGGGTATAAAGACTAGACCCTGGCTCACGGGTTAACGTGGCCAGGTGGCGGCCAGTCCGAGAGCAGGTGCAGATCGCCACACGCTGCCCTCCAGGAGTCCAGGTGTCAACCCAGTGATCCTGAAGAACAGCGTTGCTCACCAAGTTCGTAGAGAACGAGGGAACATGGAGACCTGACAGCTCACCGGACGGGACCGCCGGGCACGGAAGCACAGTCGAGGCTCGTGCCAGCACTGGGCCCCCAGAGGGGTCAGCCAGCGAGACAGGAACAGGTGCA